ACTTGAATTGGGACTGATTTAGACAGGACGCCTTTTCTGACACAGTCAGTCTCAGGGACCTCCTGAGTCTGCAAAACTACACATTCACTCATCCATCTCCTCTTCAGCATCCAAATGTGGACCTTTCCCCCCCTTTTAAAGGCTGAAAATATTAATTTAATATACATGAACACAAATCAGAACTGATAAGAGTGGACATGACGAGAAGTCGTGTTCAGAGACATGAAAAAAAATGTAAAATTTGTGTCCAGTAACATTCAGCAGTAGCATGAAGGCCGTGGCTACAAACTGCTGTGAGATTATGTTAAAGAGAAGACTTCATGAAAAAAACAACAACAACAACAACAACAACAACAACAACAACAACAAAAAACGCACACACAGCAGATTCACTGCAAAGTCTACTTAAATATTAAGATCAACCAGATTGACAATATGGAGAGTTAGAGCAATGGTTTGATTGAAACAGAGGCCATGTAATGTATGGGAATGTCCCGATCAGGTCTGCTCAGACTTGGTCTATTTCTACAAAGATGACTGGAACCACAACCACAGGCAGTTGTGTTAATAGCGCTGACAAAGTATTTAGAGAGGATTGGTGAGTTTTGACCATCAGGCAGTCACTGTCTGCAAACGCTTAAAAAATATTAAAAATAAGCATTTTATTTATTATGTTAATTGATCCTATATATATATGTAGCTTCTCAGTAGTTTCAAGCTTATACTGAACCTGACCACTTTATTACAGGTGTTAATGGTCCTATGAGATCATTGAAAATCTACCACATCAATCCTGAACATTGAACAAAATAAACTCACTTCTGGCTCGTCTCCTTGTCCTTTACCAGCTCAAACTCCCAGAACTTCACAGTCTTATCTGCACTTCCTGAGATAATCCCCCTCTAAAGGAAACACACACAAATAAAAAACAAATCAAATCAGTCTTTGGACTTTGATTTTTAAAAAAAATCAGTTTATGGAAAGGATAAGTTGGGTGTGAAAAACACTCAGACACACAAGCTGAGTACAGTGAGGTTTACCTGATCTGGGGCCAGGCAAAGTGACCACACAGCTCCATTATGGGCATCTACAGTTTCCAGAAGGCTTCCTGAACCCAGCTCAAAGATCTGCAGCTTCCCACTCTAATAAGGACAAAACACACTTGACTACAAGAAAGTCTACAACTTTGTAAGGAGCGATATTCTCTCTTCCAGATGGTTGCCATTAGATTACAGGATTCAGAAAGAAATACACTCTATACGCTCAAATCCACTAACTCACCGAT